TCGGTGTTGAGTGATTGCGAACTGTTTGTTTGAAGAGTGATAAACGATTTGGCTCCATTATCATTCTGGGGCGGGTCATGGTTTGTGTATTTACACAAGGGCCCATCAACCGCACGGGTCCTGGCCTCACCTCCTAGCGGTCCCGCACCGCCCTCGCCTCAGGGTGGCACAGCGTGACTCCTCGCGACCTGTGGAGCGTAACGGCTCCGTGCGGTCAAGGGTGCGGTGGTGCCACTCGCCTCAGACTCCACCAGCCACGAGGATGACCTGCCACATTGGCACGTCTAAGGCACTCTTAAGGCAACAAAGTACTTTTCTTATTTAGAAGTAAAAAGAATAATTTTTCTTCCCAGTTGTCTTAGCTGGTGGTCATGAGCACTGCCCCATTGGTTGAAAGTGAAGTGTTTAGACCTTTGAGGAAAAGCAATGCCGTAGTTGCCTCTCCTGACTCTCACCTTCATCTTCCATTTGCCCTTTTAAAAGGAGCTGTTGTGGGTCCCTTGAACCTGTTCTGACGAAGAAGGCAATTGTGCAAAAATTTGTGCATCCCTTGCGTGTTGTTACACAATGGCGGTTGTGGACTTTGGAGGACAAAAAAATGGCCCTGACCGAGTCATTTGATATCCTCCGCATTCGAGTACCAGATCATGTGAGGACATTTAAGGCGTCGTCCTCTTTCCTCCTTTTTTCTCACAGAAAAGAGCGTCCATTTTTTTGGATTTTGAACTCGATCGCACCGACGCCCAGGCCACCGCTGATTTCGAAGTCATGAGATGGAATTTTTTTTAAATTCTCCAACCAGACATCTAAATGTGCAATCTAACATGAGCGCTTGGTTGAACTTTTGTTTATTAACCTTCTCCCACCTCCTCCGCTGCCTCTTCCACCTCCTCCGCCCCCGTAAATGCGAAATGGTTCCAACGTATTTTGATGGTCAGGCAGTCCTTGTTCCGACAAGGTTTGATAAGAGTTTAAACTGGATCAAATGACAAGATTTGCACCGCTTCTTGTATAGAATCACCTCATAGTTCTTGACGATCAAATTTTTCGTTGTGCGCCTGTTTAATTGCCCATGTTTGCGTACATATTTCGCTGCTTGGCGGAAGGTCGGCATTTGTCGAACCGCTTGCGCTAATAAAGTCGGTACATTAAAGGCCTCCAATAAGCCAAAAATCGTCCGCCTTCGTTCATTGCAGGCGGTTTCCCCTTCCATGGTGGTAAACTACGTTAGCTTAGTCTGTGTCGCATGTTGGAGGGGAGCCGGTCTGCAGACAGCTCCATCAAACATCATTTGCCGTTAAATTAAGAGACGTAGTCTGAGACACGGATGATGGATACCAAAGATCTGATGAACACCATCATTGTCAGCCTGATTTCTACATCACCTTAAGACTTAAATTAAGACAGCAAAAAAATTTCAACTTTCTTCCCTTTAAGTCATCTTTGAAGTACTGAGGGATGTAATTTTTTTTCTTCTAGTTGTCCCACCCCTGCTAAAACCACTCCAGGAGTGGCAACATGGACTTATTTTTATAAGGTTCTTTTGTTTGGGCAAAAGTTACCGATTTTATAGGCGAGGAAAGTTGAAATTCGAACCACGATCGGTGAGTAAAGGCATAATAGATGACTGCAAGGCGAGTCCGACCTGTCTTCTTTCCTTTCCATTCCTATCCTTCATCTCCAAAAAAGACTTAAAGGTGCTTTAGTAAAGGTCGCCTTCGGACGTATTTAACAGGGGTGTTTAATTTAGTTGAAAAATCGTCTCCACTATGATAAGAGCCTCCGCTTTGCATCCTCACTAGCTGTTTACACGCGCACCGAAGGGCGGACCATGTCCGTCGGAAAATAACTTTGATTTCGTTGAAGATTTGTAAATTTGGATTTAATGCCTCGCAATAGATGCTAATCCTTGATGTCATCGTATTCTAAGTCTGTCACGATTTCGTACTGCGACGATTGGTCATGCATGATTACTACTACTCACTACCAGATTTAAGTAGGATACAAATCGAAAGATAAGTTATTTTTTGTTTAATGTTCACACCAAAAAAGAGACGCTCACCTATTTTAGTTTTATACTACCTTTGCTGGTAGCTAAAATATGATTAAAAGAGTGTAGTTCTCCTTCTGTTATCTTCTATAAAGACGATACTACTTACTACCATTATTGTCTTTACTACAAGCTGTGCATTCAAAAAGATTAGTTGTTTCCGGCCTATACTGGTAACATGCATCTGCGTCTATGGATAAAGAATGGCTGGAAAAACAGAACAAGAGAAAAGAAGGAGCACTTATCGTCTGAAGACTACACTCCTTCCTCTTCGTCCCAACACCTTGAGGGTAATAAAAGCCAGAAATGTTTGAGGCAGTTAAAAATGGAGACGCAATACGATTTAAGCACTTCGTTGGACTAAAAGGTGAAGTGGCTAAGAGGAAAAAAGTTGCCAAGGTTGAGCAGTTTTTGGACACCCCTACGGCACCTACTTCAACTCAACGTCGACATGTCATTTCGTCACTTACGCCTTTTGCGTGTCGATTTTGCGTGTCACTTGTAAATGTATGGGCAGTCAACCGGATTTTAGCGGTTCAAGGGATAAAGAATAAGCGAAGGCAGATGTTTTTTGAAGACACTAAAATCTGCGGCTCCCGTCAGCGCCATAAAGGCATGGCTTCACCCAAAATCCAAAAAGTATCGGACATGTCCTTTAGTGCTCTACATGTCGCAGCTTAGCGTTAAACATTCGTTTACATTTCGGTTTCAACTTTCAACTACCCGCATGATAGTATTGTCGGGGCATCACTTTTGCCAATGACATTACAACTCCTTCCAACACTTCTGGATCCAAGTGGAAAGGAGTGGAGTTCCTGCACGGTAGCATTCTGCAAAAATACGAGTGGGACTTGATTTTATAAATCTATCAGTTGCCACTTTAACTTTGTACGGATGATAGCAGGAGGAGGAGAAGGAGAAAGAGGGAAGCGATATCTATTTGCGATTTACTTACCTCCCAGGCGCATTGTTACCAGCACAAAGGAAGGACAGCCCTTGGGGAATGAGTAAGTGTACGCCTTAGAAGGGAGAGAGGGAATCGCGAGTACCTTTAAGGAGCCTATGACGTCCACTGTTCCTTGCGTATGCGAAAGTGTTTCTAATTGCCAAGCATTCTGTCAGCAGCCCTAAAAACATTGAAGAAATGCAAAAAAATTGTGTCCTCCTGTAGCTTAGTTTTCGAACCCTATTACCGCATGTGATTTTACCCATTTGCTTAGCCTTTTCTTCAACCTTCCCTTTCCAGTTGACGCAGATGTGAACCAATTCTTTTAACACTCTTGTGAGGCATTAACAAGTGTTTATTGTAATAGATGTTAAAGTTACGACCAAATCTTTAGCTTTTAGCATCCAGTATTGGGCACACAAAGCATTAAGCACGGTTTTGTACTCCAGAAACCATTGTTTTAAACCTTATTAAACGGTCCCTCCTATCACTGCATTCCCGTCACGTTATACACAATAAACTAGACGCTGGAATAGGTTTTTTTAAAGTTGGCATAAAAGTGAGCTCAGTTTGGGGAACCGCCAATTCCACACTGTAGCAGGTACTTCATGAGAAAGTAGTCTAAAAAAATGGAGATGAGTCTAATTTCCTTTTACGATCGAGGGAATACTAATAGTAAGGCTTCTAGAATCAGCAACAAGTAAAGGGACGCGCGCGAAATTTCATGCTTTGACTTCACGCTTATTATTTACTTAAAATTGAAAATTCAAGTCTCATAATTGGGTTTATGTTGAAAACAATTAATGCTACTTTATTTATATCAGTAACAATTGCATTTAAAAGCGTTGATTTTGTAGGATGAGCGCAATCATGCAGTAGTTTGGAGTAATGCAGACCTGAGGAGAGCAAAGGTGTTCCACCTCATTATTTGCAAGACTGTAGCCAAAGTCTTTAATTTTAACACACTGCTTGGGTTAGCTTCAAGATAAATGGCAAAACCAACTGCGTTTCCACTCCTATTCAATTCTCTGCACAAAAATGTGCTTCACTCATGTAGAGTATTTTTTTTGTACTTTTAAGGCCGTGTAATAAAAGTCAAAAACAAAATTGCAACGGGTTCGTGCGTTTCAACTTTTAATGGAGCCTGCTTGATACGAAACAATTTGATTGCAATCTTGGTGCATGGCTTACCTCATTATAAACCCCCTTTGAACACATTATAAGAGCAGCAACCATAATTTCCACTGCCTCTAGAAGGAATAGAGCCATAATTCTCTTACTGTGTGGATTAGCATTGGAAACGATATTTGTTGTTATAATTTGGATTTTTTGGCTTATTATCTGGTCTGAACATGAAAATCGTTTCACTGGAAAAGCACTGCTCCTATTTGGCCCAATTTTATTGCTCTGCATAGAGCATTAGTCAAGTGCATGAATAAAGTGGGTTTCTCCCCTTTAAAACGTTGCATCCTCCAGCATCTGGCCTCCACTAACATGGCATTTATCCCCTGTCATCGTGTACCAACTGGTTGTAAAAATTAGGCGGCAAACAAACTGGCCGACCTAGGTTAAAGTCATGTGTTTTTAAAGCAAATTAAACGTTTTATGAAGAGATGACTAGCACTGATAATAGGAGCTATGATTTATTGCAAGTCAAACCATCTAGTCGGTAACCTTGTCAGCGATACAATGGTGTGCAAGTAATTTGAAAGAAGAATTTAGGCCCCTTTTCTGATCAATAATCGCTTATAAGGTTATCCTTTGCTACATCTGGAAAAGCAGCAACATAATTCATTTCCGATAGCTCTACCCGATGAGACTGCATGTATTTAGTAGCACCGCAAATTAAGTGGGAATGTAGCTGTATGAATTTAAAAAGCGCGCGCATCTCCTCCATAAGCGAATCTGATTGGTCCGCCGGTGAAGCGTACAACTCCCAGCCAACTTAGAGCTCGCCGAAGAGGATTGCTGCCTTATTTGCATCGCCGAGGACACGCGCAGAGTATGGCATCGTCCTCCTCCTCCTCAACCTCCACTCGATACAATCAAATACGTCTACGCAGGATCAGTTTGAATGCTGAGAACCTCGGCCACCAGCCTAAGGCCGTTGGCCTTCACTTAAGGCGTCTCAGGGAGCCAGTTTACAGTCGAAAGTATTCGGATAGAATTTTCACCCACACCCACTTGAGTGGGATAAAGCCCTCGCCACCTGATTGTCATGAGATTTCTGGCCAGGTCTCAGACTCGTGAGTTGAAATCATGACGTCGACTCAGCTATCGATTTCCTTTCCTAATGGATCAATAATGCCGCCGTCGGATAGATTAAATCGATGCAGATCTCCCACGCTCATTTTATTTCATTTTTGCTTTACTCCTTATTAGTCCTTTTTATTTGCTAGATATTTTGACGGTTTCTTCCTTCAACACAGTTTTATTTAAAATTGTTTGACTTTGTACGATTCCTTGGAATATTGTGTGCCATTGTGCAAAGCAAACGTTGATTTCTTGTCTTTTGTGTTGACATTAAGCAAAGAACAAAATAATTATAGTTCACTGAAATCGTGCTTGCATATATCATTACTCCTGTTGCCTTGATTTAAGGCACATTGGGTTGGCTGGGAAAGAATGAACAAAATCATTTATTTTTCCTTATCTGTGTCCAATCGAGGTGCTTTAAGCTCTTCAGGAGGTGGTGGTTGTTGTGTCTTTCCTGTAAGAATAACAAGAATGCAAATATTAGCGGTGCACATGGTTACGCAAGCGACCCTTTCCTCCTTACCTGTCCCATGTGATGTACCACAAGATGTGGCATTGTTGCATTTTGTAAACTTTCGGCAGACCAACGAGGCAATGGGTACCAGCTAAAGGTATGCGAAGCAGAGAGTAAAATGTGGGTCAGAGATCCTCAGTTTCTCCTACGTAGACTTATGTTATTACTGTATTTGTAGTTCTGCTGTTGCATGTGAAATCCGCTTGTTTTTTTGTGCATTTTAAAGAATACTTGCAATGTTATTAGTAATTTTTTGGACATTTGTCTCACCTTTCCGGATCTGAGAGTTACACGATAGTTTTTACGAACCGAATCCTACGTAGACTTACTAAAATCCTTGAGATCAAGCAACTTTTACAAATCCGCTCTGATGCCTCTTAGGAAGGATTGTCAAGCCTCTGTTGAGGGATGTGGATGGATTGACAAAACACTTCGGTTTCTATCAAAAGTGAATAAAGGGATAATTATTCCGTTTTAACAATGAAGACATCAACTCTTACCATTCACTCCTCCTTCCCTCCCTCCCGAAGAAAACTAATCAACCACAAAAAAACTTTCTACAACATATTGAGCCTTAATAAAAGTTATCACCCCATTTCATGCTTTATCTTCCTCACAAAGTTGTATGCCCTTTCAAAAGTAACGGAACATATTTGTGGCACCCTGCTATCCCCACCTCCATACCAGGAAAAGGCATAGGTTGCCTTTGGTTAACCTTTCACTTTTATACTATTATGAACCTTAGAAGTGAGTAAAGAAGTGTGTACATTCTGCATGCATAGATATCAACAAGCAATTTCCGTGCGACTTATAGAACCAGCAGTCTGGGTGAGGACACGGGTGAATTTGACTTTTCCGACGTCCACTCCAGTTGTCTGGCCCTCAATCCGGCCCCAAATCGACGAACTTCATTCCTTTACCGCCCTGACTCTAGCGATGACGCTTCCTCCTACAGCTCTCGTCGGCCATCGGTGTCATGCGGTGACCCCATGAATTTGTAAGTTAAATTGCCTTTCCGGTTAAAAGAACCACCTTTGAGTTAAAATTCACATACGCTTTAACGAGTATTTTGGTTTAATTTGCGCAGTTTTTCTTCAACGTTTGGTGTATATGTTGTTTTGACTTACCACCTACGCATTTCATTTTTGAGTATGGAATTAAGGAATGAGGAAAGTGTTTTTAATCATCTTATTTCCTCCATACGTTGATGTTATCAACAAATGAGGGAAAACTCCTTATCAAATGGCAGAAGAAGTGAGCTCATCCAGCATTACCTGTTTTGTGAACTTTACATGACGTAAAATTAATACGTCTCAAAAATAGACTTTGCTGCAGAGTGGCGCTATGTGGATGGTTAAATCAGTTTTCGGCTTCTTCCAAACGCATTCAACTTACCAATTAAAATGACTGCCTGCATATTCTGTTTTGAATCTTAATTTATGGGTTTATAAATCACGTTTTTGTTTGTAAACTGTACTACAAAATGATTTAATCCGCCACAAAAGAATCGAGTCGAAATCCACTAAATGTGTCTCAGTTTAGAAAAACAACTGTGCTTTTTCTCATGAATTTAATCAAATTTATCAAAGCGAATTTATTTACTAGCATAAGTAAACTCCGACAAATGTTTGTCTTGACGCTTGGATTTATCAAAACGTCAATTTTAGCTGCTGGCGTCACTTCACCAAAATTTGCAAGCTTAAGATAGATATTTCAAAGTAAGTACGCATAACTAATTAATATCAACCTAATGCTTACTCTAAAATTCCTAAAGTTGTTCTCATTCAAAGATTTGTTAAGATCGACCTTTGTGTGTATATTTAAGGTCATGCTCCCACTTAAAATGCTTGTCGGGGAGTTTCATAGTGCTTCAGGTTCATTCTTGTAAGCACTTAGACGCAATCAGATAAATCAGTAGCATGGGGTGCTACTTCTCTTGGTAAACTAGGATGGTCCCCATAGATTGTCACTAGGTTGTAAATTCTTTGCACTTTTACAAAATTATTACGACGAAATTTTGTCCTCTTGGAACCAATGGAACAGCCGTACTTATTACTCCGTTTCATGGTCTTACAACCTGCTCCGTAGGGATTGAGCGCACGTTTTGTGGGCGTTTCTACCCGCAAGGCTTGTTGCTGCGTCTCTGTTGAGCACCATAGCGTTTGAAAATATGGTATTGTAGAATTTGCAATGCGTGGTAATGATGACCATGTTTTGATTTCGCTAGTCAAAACACGCATCAATTGTTAATAACTTCATCATAATGGCTGCTTTAGTGCGTTTGTTGCTTTTTTACTGCCTCAATTAGCAAGCGGTTTCCTAGAACAAAAACAGCCATTTGACTATCCCTCTAAACCTCGTACGATTTAAAAACCTGATTTACTGTTCCCCATGGGGTATCAATCACAATTTTTGTGGAACTAGCCAAGTATGAGGTGATAAAAGTAGCTTTTTAGTGCACTAATAAAGGGACTTATTGGCTCAAAGAATATTTAGGCCGGATTTCAAACGATAAGTGTCTTATTAGATTGTACTCAAACATCTGGGCAAAAAAGTTGATTGGAGCGATTTTATTTACTAAGCCTTGCCTAATATTGGTAAATAATAATTGATGGACATGTTTCACATACAGTCAGGCATATAATTTCAGTATAATCTGTGAATGTAAAGGATGTCGAGTTGTTCTTCCAATTGTCACCATCTCCGACCTTTCACTTGACGGGCTTCTTAGAGTCTATTATCTGCAAGAAGATTCATTTGACATGGTAGTAAAGTGCATGAAATTTACTGAATAAGGGACAGGAGATTGTCTAGTTTTACTTCAGATCCGAGACCTCATTCTCCTTTGCGAGAATCACGTTCGTTCTGAATTCACGTCTCGTATCCACAAGGCGGATTTAAACAACTTATGTGTAGAACGGTTAAGTCTTTCAATAATGTATTCAACTCCTTACCAGCAGTATTCCAGACAGTTCAAGGTGCAGAGTGAAGGCGTGAATTGGTAACTCCGCAAATCTTTAGATCCATTTTTTACTCCACTTCTATAATCAAAGGCAGAGAGCTTTAGTTTGATTAGATTTTCTGACTATCATTGAGAGGATTTTGCGAATGCGCAGTTCCGCCGAATTAACAAATAAAGTGCTGTCTTTTGTTCACCACGTATTACTATGCGCTCACTTTGGGGTGAAAAGTATGTTGGGTTTTGCTTTACGACAGCAAACCGGCATATTCATAACGTTTTAAAGCGAACAACACATCTACCAAAATTTTCCAGCAATCCAAACTCACGTTATTTTGTCCTTTAAATTTGACCATCATGTTCATAGGCAGAAAAGCATAACCTACTTTCTTGAGTGCATTAATTATTACTTCTTCTCCTAACCGATGGCTACTCTGTAAATCCAACCGGTCATTTGATGCAAAATACGGTGGGAGGAGTAAAGTGAAGGCAGTCGATGGAAGACAGGCCTCGGCAGATCCTTATGCTAGGCAATTTCTTAAATTAACATAAACGCAGACAGAATGTGAGGAAAGCGAGAGAATGGCATTGTGTTGGCTTAGCTTGGCTCCCAAATGCGCCTCACTCCACTTGTAACATCTTCAATCGCTGGGCTTAGGGACAGACAGGCTTAAGACGGGACAGATGTCAGCACTGCGTAGGTTTATCTAAAACTACCATCAGGCCTTCAAGCAGCCTCAGATTTCATCCAACTTTGCTCGCCACCAATGATTGTAGCATCATTGAGTTTGGGGAAAAGTGGTGGTGGCAGCTGCAATACTAACCATCGCAATTTCCCATGAGGACCGCTCAGTTGATGCGTAAATTGAGTTACCAACCGATTTTTTCCATCGTATTGTAAGTCTGTCTCACTCAAATAAATTGCAATGTACTTTTTCTTGTGCAATTTGACTTTCTTGGTTCCAAATTTTCTCCGTTGGTTTTAAGTCTCTTAGCTCACCCCTATTTTAATCCCACGTAGTGCCCAGCGAGTGCTTTGACAATCACTGCCTCATTTTAGGGTGTTAAGCGTTTGGGTGAAAATGTGCAAAAGCATTTCCCATTTCAATTTTCCGCCACTCATCTCCATGGTGACATTTTTCCTTACTTTTGATGAAGACCAGTTTAATGCTCATTAATTGGTTGGTTTTGCTCCAAAATGTTCCTCATTTCAAAGTAATGAGCATCTTAACTGGAGAAGGTGACTACTGACTTATTTAAGTCACAGGTTGCTTTACTCTCCCCTTCATTCCTCCCCCTGCCCCACCTCAGAGCCTCCCCCTTCACCTTTAGCCAATGGAATTCGACTTTCTGAGTGGATGTGAATGTAATAAAGTTCCACAAAAGAGTGGTGGAAAATAAGCTTGCTAAACAAACTTCAGATTGCCTTTTTGTTCTCTTTTTAGTGATGCAATCTCTACCATAGGTGCTTTTGCATTACCCAAAATAACAAGGAGAAAACGCATAACTGCACCGTCCCCCTTGACGCTATAGCTATGCCCCAGGCTAACAGTAAATGCAAGTCTATTTAAAGAAAAATAATAAAACTAATTGCTTTTAATAGTTTGGGCAAATAGGTTCTTAGTCAATTAAGTTAATGAACAAAAAAAAAAGGCTTATTTAGACGCTTGCAACTCCTCATTGAGTGAAACGGAAGGAAGTGAGGCAGGGCTCTGTAGCCGTACTTCTCTCCCACTGTCTGCTTTGGGATGTATCGCTTTGAATTAGTTGTCTTTGGCGTTGTGGCCGAGGGTTGTGCCAACGCCTTTGTGCGCTGGGCATTCCTTCCATGCCCAGAAGGACATCTTTACTATCTTAATGACATTCTTTTTGCCTTTTATGGCGCATCCCTTCCGACCTGAATGAGGGGATGAACTTGTACAAGGCTTTGTTGTCTGTTCTTTCTTAAATCTGCTGCTTTGCATTTGGCAAGGGCATAACTTCAGTTAAGCTGAAAATCTCTCCCTCCTCCACTGAAGTACAGTCACTGTAGAAAATCTTAAAGGCACAGAAAGGAGGCTCCTTTTATGAACTCTCAGTACTGGAAAGCTGTATGCATGGAAGGTGGCGGGCTGGCATCCAAAAAATGACCAGACCTTGGAGATGGAAGAGAGCATCTGTCGGTATTGTATTGCTGCGCATTTCTTCTTCTGGTTTGGGCGTCACCATTCTTCCGCCCCGACCGCCACGAACCTTGTGGTGAAAGACAATAAACCACTGGACGATGCTCAAAGGTGACCTTTTTTTTGGAGAAGAGGAGATGAAGTTGTAGAGATAGCAAGTAAAGAGCATTGTTTTAATGCATTGAATTGGAGCTCAAAGCGATTCTCAAATACCACTGTAGTGAGGGTTAATCAATTCCATAATCTGCCTTTTAAAGTGGAGTTGGCGCAGGACAACTCCCATTCTCTCAACTTATTAAGTCTTTTCACAATTGATAGCTTCCGATTTCTTTGCTGATTTTGGAAAAGAAAAACTTTTTTTAAATAGAAGAAGTCGGGAGTTGACGAGGCAGAATGAGGGAATTGTTGACTGGCCTTCTCGACTCCTGCAGTTCCTTTCCACCAGGGCAATCAGCAGTTAGCTTCTCACTGAACTCCACTGTTTGTAAAGGGTGTTGCAATTGTTAGGCAAGGAATCATAAAGTGTTAGCTGTGTGATAGGACTTTTATGAGACTCTGGAGATAGGCAGTGTGAATACCTTCGTTAAGAGTAGCATTATTTTTACCCATTATAAGTATGCACCGACCATCTAAACATTGTTGATTAGCTGAGTGGACTGTAGAGTAATGAGCGTCTGTAAACCTTCGCATTCCTTGTCTAAGCAAACGAGTTTTTCGAGCTACTGCGCTGGGTAAGTAATCCAATGCGTTCATTCGTAGGAACATTTGTTTGCCAAGTGATAAGTCTGCCAAAAAAAAACTATAAAATTTCATTAGTAATGGCAATAGAACTGGAGTTCCCATTTTATTTACTCACTCGCCTTCTGCTTCCTCCCTCCCC